ATCTAGGCCCCCTGTGACACATGACCACGAATAACAATATTGATGTTTTGGATCGGAGGCACAGTACACATTATAATTGGGGTCAGGCTGGTTTTTAGGACATACATATAGGGATGCCTGCTTGAGTTGAAACATAACTTGCAGAGCTTTAGGCCCACGGCCCGAGCAGAAGTTATGGTGGACCGACCCACCTACCCTGCCAGTTGGGCTGTCATCATTAATTATTATCCCATTGAAAAGCATACATAGGTCAATGGTGACTTGATTTATCATGCCTTTAGCTCTCCCTAGTCCCCTTTTAGTTTTCTCGTCTGAAATAATCCAGTCTCCATTCCCGGGGTTTACAATTACAATCGAGCACCAAGCCAAATACCACAGTACAGACATAATTTTATGGCTGAGAGTCCTTTACAAACTTTAACTTTAACGGGTTTCCAGTCCGTTGTACTGTCCATCGGGGACCCTTTTCGTAGTCTGTAGCTTCCAGTGGTTTGACTTGTGTGTGGTGGATCCACGAAGTCTTTCCTGCTACCTTGATGGAGGTGGGAGTGCTGAGCACCACGGTGAACGGTCCCTCCCAGTGCGGCTCAAGCGAATCCCGGTGGTGTCGTCGCACCAGGACCAACGTTCCTGGCTCAACTGACGCTTGGGGCAGCGTTCCCAAGGGGGGGTTCAGATGTTTTTGTCTGAACAGCTGGTGAATTGAGGTCAGCACAGGCTGGAGACTCTGTAAGGACTTAATGAGATCTTGGTTAGTTACTTCAGCTAATTTGTCTTCTGACAACTTAGGGACTAATGGTGGGGGTCTCCCGAACATAGCCTCAAAGGGGGAGATCCCAGAAATATATGGGGCGCATCTGGCCCTCAGCAATGCAAAGGGAAGGAGGCTCACCCAATTGTCGCCAGTTTCTAAAGACAGCTTAGTTAAAGCGTCCTTAATGGTCTGGTTTATGCGCTCTACTTGTCCCGAGCTTTGTGGCCGATAGGCACAATGGAGTTTCCAACTGATTTTTAATACTTGGGCTAACTTTTGAGTAACTTGGGCTATAAAAGCCGGGCCATTGTCGGACCCCATTGATAATGGAAGGCCAAATCGGGGTATAATCTCATGTAGCAGCTTTTTAACTATTACCAAGGCTGACTCAGACTTAGTGGGGAAGGCCTCTACCCAGCCAGTGAATGTGTCTACCATCACCAGGAGATAGCGGTGTCCCTGTAAGCCAGGTTTTACCATATCCGTGAAGTCCACTTCCCAGTGTTCTCCTGGAGAGGTTTCTCGATACCGGGTGGTTTCCAGTGGAGGTTTCCTGGTTGGGTTGACCAACAAACACTGTGGACATCTGGAGCTCAGAGAGGCAGTTAGTTTGGAGAGCTTTGGAATGAAAAACCGATCTCTGAACAATTCTGCTAGTTTAGTTCCTCCTAAATGAGTGGCCTGATAAGCTTGCTGCAAAAGCTCTCATCCTAGTGCTTCAAGTAACAGCACTCGCTTGTCGGGCAGCTGGTACCAGCCCCCTGGAGTGTGGGGCTTGGCTCCAAGTTGAGATGCTAGCTGTAAATCTGTCTTTGAATAGACTGGCTCTGACAAGGCTTACGGGACTAACATCAGGGCAGTTATTTTCTCTGCAGGCCCCTCTGATGTGGTTGCTATTTTTCGGGCAGCCTGATCTGCCAAATTGTTCCCTATGATGATGGGGTCATCTCCCACTTGGTGTGCCTTGCAATGAATAATAGCAACCTGCTGAGGTAGCCAGACAGCTGCTAGCAAGTCTAGGATCTGTGGGGCATTTTTAATCTTAGTCCCAGCCGAGGTCAAGAGACCGCGTTCATGGTAGATAGCCCCATGTACATGTACAGTAGCAAAAGCATATCTGCTGTCTGTGTAGATGTTTACCCTCTTTCCTGTGGTTAGCTTTAATGCCCCTGTCAGAGCAATGAGCTCTGCCTTTTGGGCAGAAGTGCCAGGCTCTAACTGCTTAGCCCAGAGTACCTCTTTCTCGGTGGTCACTGCTGCGCCGGCCACTCGCCTCCCGTCCTGGATGAAACTGCTTCCATCGGTGAAATAATTGTAAGCGTCCTTAAAAGGCTGGTCAGTTAGATCAGCTCGCAAGTTCTGCTGTAACTCGAGAATGTCAGCACACTCATGGAGAGGCATCTGTTGGTTTTCTGGGTTATCGTCAGGCATGAGAGTGGCTGGGTTTAGAGCTGAGGAGGTCTTGAAAACTACTGATTCTGGGTCTAGAAGCAAGGCCTGATAGTGTAGAATTCTGGCATTTGAAAGCCATTTTTCTGGGGGGGGTTTAATAAGAGTCTCTAGGCTGTGGGAGGTTACCATAGAAATCTTTTGTCCAAAAGTGAGCTTCTTAGCCTCTTTGAGTAGCATTGCCACAGTGGCCAAAATTCTCAGGCACAGAGGCCACCCTCCTGCCACTGGGTCGAGTCTTTTAGAAAGATAGGTTATAGGTCTCTTTTAGGGGCCAATATCTTGAGTTAGAACCCCTTTTGCTATGCCTCTGAGTTCATCTACGAACAAGGTGAAGGGCTTAGAAACATCAGGGAGCCCCAGGGCTGGAGCCTCAGTCAGGGCTCGCTTGAGCTGTTGGAAAGCCTGCTCGCACTCATCTGTCCAGTCAAGCGACTTTTGAGTCTCTCCCTTTAAAGAGTCATACAATGGGCGAGCGATTTCAGTAAAGTTTAGAATCCATAGTCTGCAGTATCTGACAGCTCCCAGAAACTCCTGCACCTGTTTCTTAGTTTCTGGGGATGGGATCTGTAATATGGCCTGGATTCTTTCTTTTGATAAAGTCTTCTTTCCTTCTTGTAATTTATAGCCCAGGTAAGTCACGGCCCGATGACACAGTTGAGCCTTTTTAGCCGAGACTTTATAGCCTAATCGTCCCAAGGTCTTTAACAACTCCTCAGTTGCCTCTTGACATGTTTCTAGGGACGTTGAGGCTATTAACAAATCATCTACATATTGAAGGAGCACTATCTCGGGGTGTTCTTTTTTAAATCCTTTTTTAAATCTCTTGCTAACGCCTCGTCAAAAAGAGTGGGAGAGTTCTTGTAGCCCTGAGGTAAACGTGTCCAGGTCAGCTGTTCCTTTACCCCTGTATCTGGGTCAGTCCACTCGAAGGCAAATAGGGGTTGACTCACCAGAGCAAGAGGCAGGGTGAAGAAGGCATCCTTCAGGTCCAGGACAGAGTACCAGGTGTTCTCCGGATTGAGGAGGCTGAGCAGGGTGTAAGGATTTGGCACTGTTGGGTGTAGAGTCAGAACTCATCTATTAACCTCTCGGAGATCCTGTACAGGGCGATAGTCATTTGTCCCTGGTTTCTGAACTGGGAGCAAGGGCGAGTTCCAGGGAGAGACACAAGGAATGAGAATACCATTGTCTCTTAGTCTCTGTATGTGGACTTTAATCCCTTTCCGGGCTTGCAGGCTTATTGGGTATTGCCTTAAGCAGATGGGGTGTGCCTGAGGCAAGAGTTCCACCACAAGGGGGACTTGGTTGACTGCTAGCCCTGGAGGGTTGTTTTCTGCCCAGACTTCTAGAATCTCCTGTTCCCATTTGTTCAGCAGTTTTAACTCTAAGTCAGTTCGTGACAACTCGGGTACACCAGACAAATTTCCCAGCAGGCGGTAACTTTCTCCTTCTGGGACAAGAGCCAGCACTCTAATACCCTCCGATTTCGAGGGTGTGTCAGCCCCTAGCTTCAGTCTTGGTTCATTCGTAACAAAGTCAATTTGCACCTGTAATTTATGGAGGAGGTCCCACCCTAAAAGGGGGTCCGGGCACTCAGGGACCCAAAGAAAATCATGTTGGACCAGTCTACGTCCAGGTCGAGCCAGACTAGCTGTCACCTTTGGGTACGATTTTCGGCCCCCTGTGGCTCCTATCACATCGACAGAGTGCTTGGTTAGTTTTCCTAATGGTTGAGTCAGCACAGAATAGGTGGCTCCTGTATCGACTAGGAAGTCCACCAGTTGCCCCCCCACTTGGAGAGTTATCCGGGGCTCGGGGGGGGGGGTGGCGGCGAGCCCTGACCTCCTCATTTTTGAGACAACAGGGCCTTAGTCTCTCGTTCTGCCCTAGGCTTTAACTTTGGGCAATCCTTATGCCAATGTCCCATCTCCTTACAGTATGCACATTGCTCTTTGTCTAGAGGAGGTCGCTGACCTCGAGCTTCCTTTTTCCTAGGGCTAGCTGACCTCTTGGCTTCTTTTTTGCAAAGTAATTCCAGTACTTTAGTCATCCTTTTGGTTGTTGTTTCTTGCAAGGTTTCCCTATTGTTGAAAACCTTTTGCGCGACCTCGACCAACTGGCTGAGAGGCATTCCCTCGAATCCCTCAAGCTTTTGTAACTTTCTCCTAATATCAGGGGCCGACTGGGACATGAAAGCAATATTAATTGCTCGTGCATTCTCGGGTGCCATCGGATTGATTGGAGTATATAATTTATAGGTCTCTAAAAGGCGCTCTAAGAACGCAGCTGGAGACTCATCGGCTAACTGCTGCACTGCACTCACTCGGGACAGGTTGATGGGCTTCTTAGCAGCCGCACAAAGTGCATCTAAGAGCCTCAGGTGATATTCATCTAGAGCCTTCTTACCTGCATCCGTGTTAGGGTCCCACTCGGGTCGGGAGGAGGGGAACAAGTACTCAATTCGTTGCTGATCAGTGGATGGAGATCCATCCTGTTCTCGGACTCCCTTTTGCCCCAAAGCGCAGATTCGCATCCTTTCCTCAGCCGTGAAAAGGATACGTAAGATCTGCTGGCAGTCGTCCCAAGTGGGAAGGTGGGTGGAGAAAACAGACTCTATAAGGCTAATCAGAGATTCCGGGTCCTTCGAGAAAGAGGGATTCTGACTTTTTCAGTTATAGAGGTCAGAGAAAGAGAAGGGGGTGTACACAAACATGGAGCCCCCGCTTGGGGCAGGGACCTCCCGCAGAGGACACAGTGGCGCTGCCTCGTGGCCCTGTTCCAGAGGTCCCTCTGGTCAAGCGTGGCGGCGGGTTCGAATGGGCCAAGGCGGGGAGGGCAAGGTGGAGTCAGGTTGTGGCTCAGGGGCAGGATACGGGGGAGGGGGTAAGGGAAGGATGTCTAGCGGGTCAGAGAAGTCTTCACTCGGAGGTAAGACTGGAGGTGCATTGGGCTTGGATGTCACCTCTTCAGCCTTGGATTTCGGTTTGAGGGCTGTTAGGACTCCATTCGGAGGTGGCTCAATCCAAGGGGGAGCATCATAGATTATATCTATCCAAGCCTGGATATAGACAATCTGATCGGGGTGAGCGGGGGCCCAAATACATACTGGTGGACTGCTCGAGCTGTCTCCATATCAAAGAACCCGAAAGGGGGCCAGACTCCTTGGGTCCCCAGGGGCCACTCCTGTGTGACAAAGGTTGTTAGTCTGGCTTTGTGAACCTTTCCCCCATATCCCCCACCCCACCTCTGGAATTCTTTAAAATGGTCAATGACAAGGCTAAGGGGAGTGCTGGGAACAGATTCGTTCTGACCCATAATGGACTCGTTCTGACCCATAGCTGGTGGTGTCGCTGACTGGTTTTCCCTGCTGGAAAAAAAAACTTAAAAGGCAAAGTTAGGATTAAACAGAAAGGCTTCAGAGACTAGGCAAACGGTCGGAATCACCTTTGCCCGCTCCGAATTCCAGGAAGGAGCTCCTAAGAAAGAAGGCTCTGTTAGAGTTAGGTGACCAAAAGGGGGACAATTAGAACAAATGGACACACAGACCGACATACAAGACAAGACAAGACAAGACAAGCTGCAGCAGAATGGCCTTTGCTCAAAAATTAGTCAAATTTTGGGATCTGGAGGAATTAACAAATTTAACTAACGGAGTGGTTCCCCACCCAGGCGGAGTCACAAATGGCAAAAACCAATTGACTCCATCCTCGGGGGCTTCACTTCCCAAATTAAGGGCGTCCCCTTCCGAACGGAGTGGTTCCTCACCCTGGGCAGAGTCACAGATGGACAGAATTTGTCCGACAAACCAACTGACTCTGTCCTCGGGTGGTTCCCACTCCCAAATTGAGGGCGTCCCCTCAAAATTACAAATTGACCGTGGCCCAAACAAAAACCTCCAGAGCACTTACTTTCAGATGTTCAGAAATGAGTCTGTGGTCTTGCTTCCATTCCAGACAAGCCCCCAAATGTTATAATGTGGGCCCTGGTATAAAATCCAAGGAAACAAGAGTCCAAAATTTAAGTAGCAAAGGCTTTATTGAGCCAGTCCTGGCGGCACAGTCTCTCCTGGATCGACCCAAAGACTGCGCGCCCAAGACTGGGGAAAGAGGTTTTTAAAAGTAAGGGAAAGTGGGGGGAAACCTGCAAGGCCATTAAACCTGTTGACCTGCATCTGGAAACTGTATTGCTGTCCACTTAGCTCTGACAGTCTCGGGAGTTTCTGGTGTTGCTCAAATTACTGCCTTCCTGCAGACTGACATTATCTCAGAGTGGCACGTCTGCAGCAATATTTGGAGAAGAAAGTGGAGAGTTAATTATCTCAGGACAGCTTGTCTTCGCTAGTGAGTGCGAAGGGGTCACGAGTTATGAGATGCTGGAACTTAAGTTTTATAAAGATCTGATATCTAACTCATTTGATACATACAGAACAAAAGGAAAACACCGATCGGGGTTTGGGCCATAGTATTACCCGGTAATTTCTCTTGAGCTAAGCAGTTCTTAAAATTGGGGCCGGCTCATTTTATGACAGATCATCACTGGGTCGGGGAGAGGTCACCAGAAACCCAAATTTTTTATGGCCCAGATAGATGGGTGGGGGGAGGCAATAAGGCGCGCTACAGAACAGGAAAACGATGGGGTATCTATCTTGTGGGAAAAGTAACTAAGGTTAGGCAAAAAGGTTAAACTCATACTCAAATCTCCCTGTATATAAACAAGTTACTTCAAACAATGTGTAAATTAGAGAGCCTTCTAGTCTTTTTTAGTTTTTTAGCGAAGAATAGAGGCGCCTAACCGTGATTAACAACCCTTGTTAGCTTGTTTTAGCACCACTCTTCTTGTTTGTAGAGGGCGGCTCTGGTTAACATCTCAATTAAGTGAAATTCTTGCAATTCTTTACAGGGGAGAGTATTGCTCAACATATCAATTGGGTCACTTAACATATCAGTTAGCAAAAAAAAAAAAAAAAACATTTAGTAAGCCACGGTACAGGTTTGCTATAATACACAAAATGATGAAGCTACTTTTTTAGAGTACAACAGTACATAGTTCTTTATGTGCCAAAATTTAAGTGTTTCAAAATTTTCTGCTCTGCCCTTCCATCCTCACCATAAATCTGGCTAAACGCAGCCATCAGTACTCATACCATAGCCTGAAGGTTGAGCTGTCTTGAAATTTCCTTCACCAGATTAATTAGTCCACTACTCAGTCTCAATCACCCACAAAGTCTCAGCACATGGATAAAACATGGCAATTTTTTTTGCTAGAATAGAATATGCGTGGCTTGTACTCCAACTGACTATGGAATCCTTGGTCCCAACTGAAATCTCCTAAGTCTGGCTTTCATTGTGCTCATTTCTGTCAGAATTTTGGTCTACTGAGCTTTGACCACAATCACACATTCAACTCTGCATTCTAAGAATTATAGCATTCTAAGGCTTCTCTAACCTGAATCTCCAAACCTTTCCAAACTTACCCCACAAACCAGTTCCAAAGGCTTTTAAACAACATAGTCAGGTAGCATTGTAGTAATTACACCACTTTTCTGGTAATCAATTTTCTGCATTAGTCAGCTTTCCTGTTGCTGGGACACAATACCCACCACCCACAATTTAAAGAAAGAGAGGTGTAATTTAGCTTATGGTTTTTGGAGATTCAGTTCTTGTTTCACTGATCCCAACACAAGAACATCATGACAGAAGAGTGTGGTGGAGCAAAGATACTGTCATGGTTTATGTTTGTGGCCCCAGGCCTCATGAGTTTGCATTGTGCATTTGTGATTGGTTCATTGTCTAGTGCTTGGATTGATGGTGTCAGTGCTACACTCACATAGGGGTGAAGCCAGGATGTGATGTAATAGCAGGAAGAAGGTGGGTCTCTCTCTCTCTCTTGCCGGTTTCTGCTGTTTGCAGCCGCCATGAACTGTGGCCCCGCCATGCCAGCCTGCCTTGGAGCCAACTGAGTATGGACTGAAAACTCCAAAAACTATAAGAAATAAACCCTTCCTTTCCCAACTTTGGACTTCAGGTATTTTGTCTCAGCGATGAGTAAAAAGTAACTAAGACAGATACTTAATTCATGAAGGTCAGAAAACATTGGAACAGTAGCAGAGAGGAAAGGGAGAGGTACCAGAAATAAATCCCATACCATGCCTCCATGTGCCTTCTACTCACACCCAGATGTGTGTTCTTCCAATCCTCTTGTGAGTGGGGATCCTAAAGCCAATCAAGTTGGCACTTTACCCTGACCACCACAGACAGAAAAACCATATAGACATCTATGAAATCTAGTTGATTTATAGTGTTGTTCAAGTGTTTTATTTCTTTGCTGCTTTTCTAGCCATTATTAAGAGTGAGCATTGAAATCACATATTTATGAATTGTCCATTTCCTCTGCCATTTCTGTCAGTTTTGCTTTATGCATTTTGGTACCATTATTAGGTGCATAGACTGTATTCTTAATAATGAATTGCCTGGTTTATAAAATGTTCTCTTAATCTTTGTATATTTATCTCCAGTAGATTTTCATTTTAGTCTTTTCCTGACTTGGGGTAGCCACTCCACCTCTGTTTTGGTTGTTGCTTGTGTAGTATACACTTTTCATCCTTTTATTTTCCATCTATTTGGATCTTTGTGTTTAAAGTATGTCTCCTACAGAAAGCGTATAGTTAAATGATGGCTTTTTTCTTTGTTTTTTTGGGGAGGTTTGTTGCTGTTTTTATTATTTGGTTTTTTGAGGCAGGGTCCCAATAGGTAGTCCAGGCTGATCTTGAATTCATGGTGATCCTCCTGCCTCAGGCTCCTAAATTCTGGAATTATACACATGCACCACCTCACCCAGCAGTTGAATTGTGCTTTTTATCCAGTCTGACAATAACAGCCAAATAAAATAAAACAGAATAAAGCCCATAAAAACACACAGTGAAAGTGATATAGACTTCAAATCAAGACAATAGGAAAATAACAATGGCTGCCATAATACCTGTCATCTTTAAAATAACTATCCATACCATCAAATGTATTAAAATCAACCAAATAAAACAGAAGAAAACTGATAAAAACAAAACAGCAAAAGTGACACAGAACTTCAAAACAAGATAATAGGAAATCAACAATGGCTATTATTATGCCTCTTGTTATCTTCAAAATGGCTGTGCATATTTTTATATCTTTTCTGGATGTCTCCTTTTAAACACTAACCCTCTTTTATTTTTTTAATTTTTTTCTAATCCTCTTCTTTAAAATCACACAATAAGCTACCCTAAGTAAGAATGAAATAATAAACTACAGAATAAAACTTTCTAAATTTTGTTTATTAGAATATTTGTCAGATTCTAAAATATATTTCAGATATTTATATAGAAAAAAATAGGATATATAAGACTTTCAAAATGACCACATAGTATGAAAACAAATCAAACTTTTCAAAGTTAGAAATTCAATGTATAATTTAAACTGCAATTAGACATAAAAATAAAGATTTGGAAAACTGTTCAGGAGGTTGGTGATGAAGCTCAGTGTAGAGCACTTGTCTACCAAGCCCAAGGCTTTGGATTTGATTCTTAGCAACACAAAAAAGAGAAAAGGAAAATTTATTTGGGATGTAATATACACAAAAACGAAATATAAAATATTAAAGAAATATTATTAACAGACAAGGAAGATAGGAAAAATCTAAAATACATCTAACTCATATTCCAGAATAAAAAGCTATAAAGAAGTTAATGTGCTAATTGAGGAGACAATTACTGAGAATTTTCTAGAACTTATGAAAGATATGAGATTTAGGAATTGCTATAAATACCAAAGAGGAGAATTAAAAAGAACTCTACACCAAGGTACAAATGTAATACCCCGAAGGCAAAATATCTCAAAAGGAAGCCAGGATAAAATCCCAGATTCTATATTAGGAAGTATGACAGATTATAAGACTACAAGAATTTACTGACTGACTGAGAATTGCACCAAATTTTATGAGTAAGGAATTAGAGTATAATGAACATGAATTATGGACCTGCTGGACTTAAGAGTCACAAACAACTAGAGTCAAATCCTAACTCCATCTCTTAACAGCTGTACAACTACATGCAAGTTGTTCAATCATTTTGAGCTTCAATTTTCTTATCTCTAAAATGTGAGTAGCAATATTTCTTTTTCAGAGTCATATTAACTAAGGCAGCAAGTGTAAAGAAATGTAATAAATGTAAATAGAGCATTTTCTTGAAAAAAAAAAAAAGTAATCACAAAAAAGCAACATTATCTATACCAAAAATAGAAGTCAGAATGCTTAGGAAAACTGTGGTCAACTTTGAATTATGAACCCAGTAAAGCTATTTTTCAAAGCAAAACACGAGTGAACCAAGGAAAA